GCTACTGAGCGCTGGGGCCTGGCCTTTATACTTCCTGTCCCGCCCCTTGACTTCTGGGGGGCGGGGACAGGCCGTGGTGGCTCCGCCCACTCTGGCGGCTTTTCTGGCTCATCGCTTCCTGGGGCGCCTGGAAGCCAGGCCGCCCCGCTACAGGCCCCCACTACAGAAAGGATGTGGACAAATTGGAGAGAGTCCAGTGGAGAGCAACACAAATTATTAGGGGACTGGGGCATGACTTAGGAGAGACTGAGGGAAATGGGGTTATTTAGTCTGTAGAAGAGAAGAAGGCTGCTATCAAATCCCCCCTCACTCAACTACCTGAAGGGGGGTTCCAAAGAGGGTGGAGCTAGGCTGTTCTCAGTGGTGGTAGATGACAGAACAAGGAGTGGTGGTCTCAAGTTGCAGTGGGGGAGGTCTAGGTTAGATATTAGGGAAAACTTTTTCACTAGGAGAGTGGTGAAGCAGTGGAATGGGTTACCTAGGGAAGTAGTGGAATCTCCATTCTTAGAGATTTTTAAGACCCAGCTTGACAAATCCCTGGCTGGGATGATTTAGTTGGGGTTGGTCCTGCTTTGAGCAGGGGGTTGGACTAGATGACCTTCTGAGATATCTTCCAACGCTTATCTTCCATGATTCTATTAACTACTGAAGGTAGTTAAGTCCAAAGCAGGCTGCGAAGAGCTACAAAGGGATCTCACAAAATTGGGTCATTGGGCAACAAAATGACAGATGAAATTCAGTGTTGATAAATGCAAAGTAATGCATATTGGAAAACATAATCCCAACTACAGTAACTCCTCACTTAACATTGTAGTTATGTTCCTCAAAAATGCGACTTTAAGCGAAATGATGTTAAGCGAATCCAATTTCCCCATAAGAATTAATGTAAGGGGGAGAGGGGGAGGGGCGCGCTAGGTTCCAGAGAATTTGTTTTCACCAGACAAAAGAGAGAGAGAGACACACACATAAATAAGTTTTAAACAAACCATTTAATACTGGTACACAGTGATGATGATTGTGAAGCTTGGTTGAGGTGGAGTCAGAGGGTGGGATATTTCCCAGGGAATGCCTTACTGCTAAATGATGAACTAACAGTTGGCTGAGCCCTCAAGGGTTAACTCTCACACTCTACAAGGTAGCAGGAATGGAGGGAGGGGAGACAGCATGGCAGACAGAGACACACACCGTGTGTGTGTGTGTGTGTGTGTGTGTGTGTGTGTGTGTGTGAGAGAGAGAGATGCGCATTTCCCCTTTAAGTACACTGCCTTGTTAATTAGATCAGCTTGCTGAGACCGCAGCTGCTGCCAGTAAGCTCCCTCCGTCCTGAGCCCTGTCGTGTGTCCCCCCTACTCTATGGAAGATGGGGTAAGTGGGGTGCAAGAGCAGGGGGGAGGGGGACATCCTGACAGCCCCCCTTTTTCTCCCCTCCCCCCACACAGCAAGCAGGAGTCTCGGGGAGCAGCTCCAAGGCAGAGGGCAGGAGCAGCACATGGCAGTGGTGGAAGGGACCACTGCAATTGCTAGCCTGCTGGGCAGCTGCTGCACAGAGAACTTAGGGGAGCGGGGAGCTGATGGGGGGGTTGCCAGTCCACCCTGGTTCCAAGCCCCCACCAGTTAGCTGCAACGGGCTGCTCTTCCTGGAAGCAGTGGACAAAGCAGGTGGCTGCCAAACGATGTTAGAAGGGAGCATTGCACAACTTTAAACAAGCATGTTCCCTAATTGATCAGCAACGAAACAACGTTAACCGGGATGACTTTAAGTGAGGAGTTCCTGTATACATATAAAAGGATGGGGTCTAAATTAGCTGTTACCACTCAAGAAAGATCTTGGAATCATTGTGGATAGTTCTCTGAAAATATCCACTCAGTGTGCAGCGGTAGTCAAAAAAGCTAACAGAACGTTGGAAATCATTAAGTAAGGGATAGATAAGACAGAAAATATATTGTCTCTATATAAATCCGTGGTATGCCCACATCTAGAATACTGTGTGCAGATCTGGTCACCCCATCTCAAAAAAGATATATTAGAATTGGAAAAGGTACACTAAAGGGCAACAAAAATGATTAGGTGGATGGAACATCTTCCATGTGTGGAGAAATTAATAAGACTGGGACTTTTCATCTTAGAAAAAGAGACGACTAAGGGAGGGATATGACAGGGATCTGTAAAATCATGATTGGTGTAGAGAAAGTAAATAAGGAAGTGTTACTTACCCCTCATAACACAAGAACTAGGGGTTACCAAATGAAATTAATAGCAGCAGGTTTTAAACAAACTTAAGTATTTCTTCACACAATGCAGTCAATCTGTGGAACTCCTTGCCAGAGCATGTTGTGAAGACCAAGACTATAACGGGGTCAAAAAAGAGCTAGATACATCCTTGGAGGATAGGTCCATCAATGGCTGTTGGCCAGGATGAGCAGGGATGGTGTCCCTAGCCACTGTTTTCTAGTGGTTATGGGAGACAGGGGATGGATCACTTGATGATTACCTGCTTTGTTCATTCCCTCTGAAGCATCCGGCATTCGCCACTGTTGGAAGACAGGCTATTGGGCTAGCTGGACCTTTGGTCTGACCCACTCGAGTCGTTCTTATGTTCTTACACATTGGTGTAAAGCTAAATGTGACTTGCAGGCTCAGCTAGAGAAATTTGAGGCCTCAGTATGTTGTGTTTGTTGGGGCCTCACTCCCTTCTATTTCACTTTTATTTACGCAGACATTAGAGGTTTTGGGTAGGTTGTTCGGTCTTGGTTCTGGTACTTCCTGGGACAGGCCTGAGGGTGTGACTTCACCGACCTCGCGCACAGAGTGCATGTGAGGTTATGCTGCTTGAGGCAGCAGGGGGCTGCAATTTTGAAGAGCGTGCTTCCTTGCCTGCATGACCTTGCATGCACTGTGTGCATAAAGTCCTATCAGCGGAGACAGAGTAGCACACTTCATTATGGCGTTCTCCCATCTGATACCAGACAAAAACAAGTGTGGCTTTATCTGAGTACTGGATCTCCAGCTGATAATATTAATTGCTAACGTTAGAAAAGCATGACTAGCAAGTTTAAAATTGGACAAATGGTGTGCCTAGTTCTTGGGGGGGGCCCTGAACTCAGAGCACCAGTACAGATGTCCTCCCTTTTGACCCCTCATGTCAGCTCTGGTGAGTGCACTAGTGTAGCTTTTCTTGGAAGCATACATTAATTTAAAACAAAACTATAGCTACCCACAAAACTTGCTAAAATACTTGTTGAAACCTAAAGTAAGTGGGCTTTTCCTGCATAGAGAGATGTAGGAAATAGTTTCTGGTTATCTGCCTTATGGCTGAGGGATGAAAACATTATCTAGTCACAAGCAAATTGGCAGACTCCATAGAATAAGAAAGTACTCCCATTGCAATCAATGGGAGTTTTGAGTATACTGAATGTTTTATTTTTTTTAGAAAAACCTAGTTTTTAAAATAATAAAGCACACATGTTGTAGTTGCTTAATTTGTGAAATGTAATCATACATATTGTCTAAAATGCAAAGCTTGCAGTTCTGTAGGTAGGGTAAAACACCACATAATAAAGTTCACAGAGGAATAACTGGTTAGATATTACTACTCTTTTGTGTTTACCCTTAGCTATCAATGTATTTTGTCCAACTTTATTTTTTTAATGTCTAGCCTATTAAGATATTTTGCTGTAAATTAATCCAAATACATTAAAAACATGCTCACTTGATCCTAATGTGGTTGGATAACAGGGCACATCTCTTTAAAACTGACTAAATTTTGAATTTACGGTTCAGTTGTTTTTTATGTTACTTCCACAGTTGTTCACCATTTTGATGCGATGAACTGAAGTGTAGCCTCAGCCATAAGTTAGGGTAGAGAGGAAATTTAGCTCTCCCGCTCTTGCTGAAAGCTATGTGAGGCTGCATACAATTTCTGCCTGGAATTTTGCTTAGGCACTTCCGAAGTAGGTAAACAAGTTGCCAGAATATCAAATAATTTCTTTTACTTAAAAATTTGTGTAATATTTTCATGTTGGATTTACCACAACACTTCAGCCATATGGTTCTTACTGAGTGTAAATTATCAAACCAGATACAGTTTTAACGGTCATCCATCTGAATGTTCTTTGATGTATTATAGTTGTAAAATGTTAAATATTTTAACAACATGCATAACGTATCATTGCCATCATAGGAGATACAAATGGGCCATAGACGCTCCAACTAGTGGAAAAGAATTATGGAGAGTTTTGAAAAACTACTTAATGTCAAATTTAAGGTCCTGTTATTGCCACCATTGCTATCTTTAAAAAGTAATCAGATGCTTTATTTAAAGAGTGTTTCAATATGTTATATGAAATCTTTTTAACTTATTGTTTCAGATATACAATGAAAAAGAATTACTTCAAGGAAAATTGGAGCTTCTTAGTGATACCAACATGGTGGATTTCGCTATGGATGTGTACAAAAACCTTTATTCAGATGAGATTCCTCATGGTAAGCTTGGTCATAAGTGGATCTGTGGATTTTGCGGTCAGTTTTAAAGTAGATGCTTGAGTGAATGAAATCGTAACAACCCTTTCCAACAGCTGCCAATTTTATTGTCTCAAAACTATCCCTGGTAGTAGTTTTTTGTTTAAAACATTTGTCATTTTGTTGTTCTTTCCTTTTGACCACTGTTCACTTGGCACCGTATTCTGGTATGGTTCTGAAGAATACATTGGTAGTTGGTAATAACTTGTATGCAGTACTTGGTACCTATGGAATAAAAATATCAGTATCAAATTTAAGGAAAGATGATTAATGAAAGCAAGTGCCTTGTTTAAAAAAAGGTCATTGTCATTAATCTTGCAAAATATTTTCTTTTATTTAAAAATTTAGAGTTTCAAAGTGGTATATAAGAGTACTTCATGACCAATAACAAAGACTTTGGGATTACCATAACTCCCCTGATGCCATATCATTGGTTACAAAGCTATTCTTTGCCTGTGAAAATATAATATTGCACAGTTAGGTGTGTTGGGGGGGGGGGGAGGGGGACTGTGTTCAAGCTTTTCTTTAAAGCATTCAATCTTGGAAACTATAGAGACAAGGTATTTCTATTATAGCACTGCATATGATTTTCAGGTCAGGTGTGATTGAGGTTTAATCACACGTGTGGAAGTTCAAAGTTATGGTTCCTATGTCATGTATAAAAACATAAAACAGCAGAGAGGTCAAGCATGTTCTGTGATAAGGGGTAAATTATCCTTTCACCCAGAGTCTAGGCATTGGGGCTACAGGTAAATTAGTATAACTTTGCATTTAATAAATGTTACTTGCAAAAAACTGTTTAGGGATCATTAAGGTTCCAAAGTCAGGTATTCAAAAGTTAGGAATGACTTCATTAGTCTTTACAGGATTACATACAGCTTGTTCTACAAGACCTCTGCTTCATTGATTGTGCAAGATGAACAGCAAATGAGGCAGTGAGTAGCAGAAAGTTCTCTTGTGTTTAAAGCAATGGGCTGGGACCAAAGAAATCTGGGTTCTAGTCCTGGCTTTTCCACAAACTTTCCTTTTGATACTAGGCAAGAATGTCATTACACAAACATGTCTGGAGAGCAAATTAATGTACAAGCATTCAATTCTGGCATTTCCTAACTTTTGAGCACCTGATTTGGCAATCTTAACATTTTTATTTAACATTTTGATTCAGTCTTACAGTACACCATTTCAGCTGATGTGTTGTGCAGTTTTCTAGTTGGATAATGTTTCACTTCAATAGCTTGCATATATGTAGGAACGATTCCTTGAAGTTTGAGTTCATATCTGCAAGAAAGCTGAGGGAATAAGTCTGGTTACTGGGAATCCTCTGCCTGCATTCCACACACAATCCAGCTACATTCCTCCCAAATTATCCTTTTGTTTGCATTTTTTAGAGCAGTGGCTCTCAAACTTTTTTACTGGTGACCCCTTTCACATAGCAAGCCTCTGAGTGTGACACCCCCCCTTATAAATTAAAAACACTTTTTTATCTATTTAACACCATTATACATGCTGGAGTCAAAGCAGGGTTTGGGGTGGAGGTTGACAGCTCATGACCCCCCATGTAATAACCTCGCGACCCCGAGGGGTCCCAACCCCCAGTTTGAGAACCTCTGTTGTAGAGCATGTAATTTATTCTTGAAATTAAGCTATTCTATATTATTGACAATTTGATGCCTATTCAGTGATACTGCTATTCTATATTTCTTACAGTAACTTGCAGTATAAAATTTCTTCTGTATGTGATGATTCAAATGTTAACCATCATTATTTTATATTGTTAGATAAAGTTAAAGTTTACTGCAGGTAACACTTTCATTCAGAGTCAAGTACTATTCAGCACTATTGGTTTGCTTGGTGCTCTGTGCAAGAAATCTGACCTGTGGTGCACAAAGTGCTGCACTTCTGTACAATTAATTTTCTCTCTGTACAGACTACTTTTATATACGTAATTATAATAAGTGTAAATTGTTCTTTTTGCCCAAATTTACCATGAAGGGTTATGTATGGGCAACTCTCAATCTTTCTGTCAGCTGAATAACTGTTGCCAAGGTTATAGTTGAGTTGCATTTTTAAGAAACTTAACAGTATTAAGGGGTAGCCGTGTTAGTCTGGATCTGTAAAAAGCAACAGAGTCCTGTGGCACCTTTCTGTTAGTCTATAAGGTGCCACAGGACTCTTTGTCGCTTTTAACAGTATTAATTAGTTAAAGCTAGAAATTTAGTGGAAATACATTAAACAAGTATCAGGGGGTAGCCGTGTTAGTCTGTATCTACAAAAACAACAAGGAGGCTGGTAGCACCTTAAAGACTAACAGATTTATTTGGGCATAAGCTTTCGTGAGTAAAAACCTCATTTCTTCGGATGCATCCGAAGAA